ACAGGGAAATATATACAGGATCTTGTGATGGCTCACAGCGAAAGAGAATGTGACAATGAATGTATTTATGTTCACATATAACTGAAAAATTGTGCTGTACACTGGAATTTGACACAACATTGTAAATGACTATAACTCAATTAAAAAAAGTTAATAAAAAACTTTATAACCTTCTAGTATTATGTAAAAATTTCCTATGAGCACGCCATCCATCTTAACAAATGAAGAAAAACGCTGTAACAAACGCAGTCTCTTCCCTCCTTTCCCCCTCCCACCAGCTTTCCAGGTAAAGAGAAGAGTTTCTCAATCATGATTCCCATACTGGACTTGGAACCTGGGTGGACAGGAAGAAACAATTGTCACTTAAAGCGCCAGTGATGTGATGGTGTTTGTTCCTCGTGGAGTGGTTTCCTTCCCCATCTGCTGTGAGCCGTCGGGACTTTGGGTCCCTCTACCCTGGGCTGTGTACAATTTAGATGCAGGCGATGGGGTGCTCTGTATGTAGCACGTCCATTTTCATCTGGTGGTTGCTATGCACTGAATGTTTGTATCCTCTCCAAAAATCTGTAGGTTGAAACAATACCCCCAGGGTGACGGTGTTCGGAGGTGGGGCCTTTGGGAGGTGATGAGGGTTAGATGAGGTCATGAGTGGCTTGGAACCGTCTTGCCTGCTTGATTCCTAGTCCTGCACTTCCCAGCTGTGACCCTGGGCCAGTCTCTCTCTGTGCCCTGCTTTCTTCATCTGTGAATTGATGCTAATAAAAGCACCCACCGCGGGTGGATGAGGGGACTGACTTACTACATGAAAAGCACTTCAAATAGCGCTTGGTCCAGGGAAGCCCTCGATAAGTATTTGCTGCATTATGATAATCAACCTCACTCTGCAGGTGAGGCTCAGAGAGGGTACGGGACTTGCTCAAGGTCACCCAGCTAGACAGCAGCAGAGTTGGGTCATTTTACTGCCTTGTCCTGCCTAACCAGGGAGGAGAGAAGGACAGAAAATGGAAACAGGGACTGTTTTTAACAAAGGTCCCAGTACCTTCCAACCACCTGCCTTGGGAATATATGTTCAGGAGCTCACACTAATGCTGACCGAGTCCGCTTTCCCAGGCCAGTGGCCAGGCTGGCTGTGAGAAGGATCCTGAGTGGTTGAATCTGAACCAATCCCACGCTGACCACATGTGTGTACTCACCCGTATCTGTGTGCCTCAAATCCTGGCTTCCAAGCTGTGTGATGCTGGGCAGGTTCTCCAACCTCTCTGAGCTTCAGGCTCCTCTTCTTACAAACAGGCAGACACACACATAACTCATCGGTTTGCTGTGAAAATTACAAAGCCCCAGCAGAACATGCTTGTGCACAGCAGAGGCTCAACAAATGATAAATATTATCATTATCCATGATTATTCTTAAAAGACCATTTAATGGGAGATACTGCTTTCCAAGTCGATGATTTTAGACATGTTGGGTGTCTGAGCTGGAAGAAACCTTGGAAATCACGTGGTCCAAACCATGCATTTTTCCAGGAGAGAAAAATAAGGGCCGCAGAGGGCCACAGAGACAGTTGGGGGCAGAAGTGAGTCAGGAGCCCACGACCCCCGGCTCCAGGTCAGGACGCCAGGAGGAACAAGGACCCAGCTCACTTCCATAGGTGCTCACTCAGCATCTCTTCCGTGCCTTCCCAAGCTGCACCTGCCTCCCAGCTGACCCCAACTGGTCATCACTTTACCACCTTGATGGGCAATTGAAAGAATCTGATTTAATAGGTTTAGAGAGGGGCCCAAGCATTAAGTTTTTTGTTTTTGTTTTTTTTACACAAAGCTCTTTAGGGTGACTCTAAAGTGCATTTTGAAAGTTGAAAGTCTTGGATGTTTTGGATCCTATGCTTTACTTTTGCTCTCCATCCAACCCGTTATGGGTGTCCTGGTCAGGCCACCTGGTCACCTTGGTCAGCAGATTACTGACTGGTTGCCCAGCCTCCCTGTTCTTCACATTGGCCACTCAGGAGAATCTTTCTAGAAAGCATGTTGGATTAGCCCCCTGCTCCAAACCTTGGCTGGTTTCATCGGTGTGTGGAAGGCCTGGCCTGGTACAAAAGAATGCAGATCCGAGCCTTGCCTGTTTCTTTGGCCTGGACTCCAGGCTCTCCTGGCCTCCCTCTTTGTGAATGAGTACTGCTGAATGTCACAGAAATGCTTGTCTCATCCTGCCTTCGTGTCTTCAGTTGGCTATTCTTTTGGTCTGGAGTGGCTCTCAGCCCACCTCCAAGTCACTGGAGCAGTTACCACTCAGTCTTCAAGAGGAAACTCAGGGAGTTAACTTCTGCTCTGATTTGGGGCCTCTCCTTTGTTCATGTATAGCATCCTTCTGTATCCTGGTTCTTATGCTGGGTGGCTGTGACCTTTGGCCCCCTGGAAGGGGAACTGAGGCTGAGGACCGCGCCGTGTCCATCCCCATCACATGACATGCCTTTGATGAGCTCCGATGAAATGAACAGGCTCACAGTGCTTCCTGAGCCCAAGGCAGACTTAAGCAGGTAGAGGGTCCCCCCAAGACATCCCTAAGAGGTATGCAATAGATGCTTAATAAGAACTTGTCACATAAGTCCTTACCAAGACCACTGTCAACCAAAGAGGCCACATTTACTCTGGTGTTTCCATTATAAATATTTTAATTTAAGAATACTGATTAACACAGGAAAACAGATTGAATTCATGGAATTGTGCATATGGTCATCAGTTACATTGCGACGGGTTAATTTATCATTTATTGGCACTGTCAACAGAATACTGTAAACAAGATCACTTTGTATGCGCACGTCGGCAGAGCTCCCAAGTAATGGTTTTCTACCATGAGCTGATATATATATACATATATAGACAGAGATAGGTTATAGATAATAGACATGTTAATGTGCACAATTTTGCACGGTTACTGAGTGTCAGTAAAAATTATAAAAAAAACCCATTTATAATAAAAGTGAGGATGCATGAAGGTTTGCTATTACTGGACCTTGTTTTCTGTAAATGTGATGAGACTTGCTAGTGACATTTCCTAAACTCTATGGCACTAATGAGTGATGGGTTCATTTCCGGACTGTCGGCCACAGATGCTCTATGGCATGGGCTCTGCCCGAGCCGGCGGCCTGTCTGCGGGGCTCCCTGTGTTTTCCCCAGCCTCTTCCAAGTTTCTACCATCTTGGGCGCCTCCAAGAATCCTTTTCCTTGAAATTCTTCCAGCTACACCCTTACCCCCAAAAGAGGATGTCTCAGGAACTCATTATGCCCTGATTCAACAAGGATTTGCTGATAAATGGCTTAAAAAGTTTTACGAGAAGTAACTTCCCTTAGTAAGGAGTGAATACGCCTGGAAACGACTTTCCAGATAAAACAGATTTCATTTCTCTGTCAATGTCCTGTGAGGAGAGAACAAAATATTGGAGCCACTCTCTCCACCAAAGAGAGCCACATTTCTGGTTGTGCCCTGGCTTAAAAACCTTTTGGACTCCAGGAACCTCACTGTATGTTTGCACCCAATGCTAAAATCCTCAGCAGAGAGCATCCGTACGCCAATATATGAATTACAGTTTGGTTTGCATTTTGCTTGTTAAATAAGGCCTTGGATTTTGGGATATTGCCTGTGGAATCTGGATCCCCAGTGAAAGGTGTGAGACCATGAACTGATGTGTCTTTGCATATGCTGTTCCATTTCTGCAACATACTTCCTTGCCTTGTCTGCTTGGTGAACTCTTGCTCATCCTGCAAAACCCTGCTCAAATGTCACTTTCTTCTTGGAATCTCCTCTGATCCTTAGGTGGGTTGGGGCACTCCATCTGAGTTCCTGATGTTTCTACAAATACCGCGTTTATGATCCTTGCCATTCTGCTTTTTAATTGTTAGTTTAAGAGTCTCTTGTGTCCAATGGGATGTGAGTCCCTTGAGAGCAGGGACTAGGTTTTATTTCACATTTGGATTTCTAGTGCTCAGCACTGGGCCTGGGACAGAGCAGGTATTTAATCTAAGTTTCATGAATGAATGGTTGGAGAAATAAACAAATATATACATGAGTGAAACCCTTGCAGAGGGAGGGAGGCGCCATGTAGTTGGCAGTGCACATGTCCTCGGACCCGGCAGAACTCCTGAAAAGCAACAGATGAGCACTGTCTGCAGGGATACAGAGTGAACTGGGATCCATGGATCTGTCCATGTCTATAACCATGATAGTGCCTTTCATTCTTGGCCAAAAAAAAAAAAAAAAAAAAAAAAGGTTGATGACCAAGTCTGCTGAAGAGTGGAAACGGAAAAAACCAACCCACTTGGAGATCTTTGGATGATTCATTATTAAAGGAGAAAAAGTGCTGAATCAAGAATCTTGATTGGCCCAAAACAGTCAACCAAGGCACCAGGAGATGAAGTGGCTTCCTTCTGGACAGAGGACACCAGCCAGATCTCCCTCCTTTCCCCTCAAGCAGTACCTCATCGCTCTGGGACCACCATGCGCTCTTTTTAGAAGCACCTGAAGTCAAATCAGTTCCAAAACTGTCTCCTCTCCGGCACAGATTGCTTCGCCTCAGCCATAGTCCAGTCAAGCCTCTCAGCACCGCCTGCGCGGTAACCTCACACTCACCCACACAGGAGAGCCTCTGCCTTGGCGGGGCAAGAACAAGCAGACCGCCCGGCACCAACAGGCTGGTTTCCCGCTTGGGGCTCTGGCGCCTTTAATTCCCGATGCTTCCCTCGAGACACCTAGGTCAGCAACCGACTCCGTCTGACGGAGCAGCAGAGCTGCTCCTGGGGCTGCTCAGAAGCGGAGCAAAGGTGGATGAGCTAAAGCTAGAGAAAGGGTCCCCCTAGGGGAGGGGTCCAGATTCAGACCCCGGATGCCACGGGGCAGGGGGATGGGGCTCTGCTGCCCCAGGCCTGGGCTGACACTTCCGGGCCACAGGCGTGCTTCTGACCCTTCGGTTCACATGTGTCCCCGTGAATGATGGGGCCACAGCTTTCCTTCCACCAAGGAAGTGTTTAATAGGAGGGAGAGAGTTTGGGGAATGAAAGACAGCAAGTAAGACCTGCCAGTGATGCCACCCAGAGATTCTCCCAGGATGAAGCCCCATCGAGGAGAGAATTCACAGTTTATGGAGGAATCCCCAGAGGCATGGAGAGAGTGGCTAGGAGACCACACCCCCTTGCACACATATCCTCCTATACTTTCCACACCCCCAGGCTCAACCCCAGTGTCCCTGCTGTCCTGCACATGCTCTGTCCTGCCCATCACTGGGCTGCACGTGGGACATGCTCAGAGCTCCAGGGCCTGGGGGAGAGGGTGAATCATGTCTTTGCACAGGGCAAGGGGAGTCCACACCCTCCCCTCACAGAATGTATCACTTGAGAGGGACCAGAACTCAGGAGTCCCACACCAGTCCCAGGAGCAGGTGTCATTCCCTTGACCGGTTTCCAAAGATACTGTCGGCAGATACATGGCCAGGACCCCCAGGGCCCATCCTAAGACTATGTCCAGGGCTCAAGTAGAATGTCTGAGCTTAAACCAATGTGTACCATTGGCTCTGCAGGGAGGGAAACCCAAACCAGCCCCTCCTCCCTCCCCTACCCCCCAAGCCACCAAAAACATCCCCTCCCGACAAATAACCCCCCAGCTGATGCAGTCACCTCTGATACTTTAAGTGAAAACATGAATTAGGCAAACTAATCAATTTGACGATTGTTGAGATCGGGGCTTTCTCAGAGCGTAGTGGAAATGGCTTCTTTACTTGAAGTTGGCTAAGATGTCGCTGAAAATATTGAGGAACAGGTGTGCATGGTGATCCCTGAAGACCAGAGTGGGACGGAAACGGATGGACTTGTCGCCGCAGCCCCCCAGCATCACGCCTGGAAGGAGAGGCAGGGGGCAGGTTAGGGGCCCGGGTGCAGAGGCCCACGCGGGGGAGCCGGGAGCTGTTACACTCATCCGCGACCCCATCCGTCCTTCCTTCCAGCCCCTCTGTCCATCCTTCACCCCTGTTCTCTCCTATCACCCATCTCATCCACCTCTCTGTTCCCTCCCTTCCATCCAACTCAGAATGCCAGCTCTGCTGCCCCTGAACTAGGTCTGGTGACGGAGAAATCCTGAGAGAAAGTCCTTGCCTTCCAGAAACTCATGGTGTGTTGGGAAAAGAAACTAAGTCAGCAAATGAATTACAGAAGCGGGGGCGGGTTTGAAGCACACAGGACGGAGGCAACATGCTGATTTTAAAGGGTGACTGCACCTTTGACTAGACGGGGTCCGGGCTAGGTTGTGTGGCGTCTCTGGGGCTCAGTTTTTACCCCTCTTCAGGGCTGCCGCAGGTTTTTGTAAGACGGTACGTGTGCAAGACCCCACGCTTGACACAGTAGGTGCCTCCCAACTTAAAGCTCTCCTGTGGGGTCCCACAGCTCTCAGGACAAAGTCCAGAGTCTTGAACCTGATCCACAGGGGGACCTGGCAGCTCCTCCCGTTTCATCCCCTGCTGCCTGTCTGTCCCTGGCCACACTCCACCTCTGTAAGCCCCACACATCCCTCCCTCTGCCCAGAATGCTCCTTCCCACCTTCTTCACCTGGCCAACTCCTATTCGCCTGGAAAGACTTCATGTAAAATGTCACTGCCTCATGGAAGCCTTCCCTGATTTCCTGGACCCCTTCCCCAGCTATTCATTCTGTAGCTCCTTTTCCTCCATCCGAGGACTTATAACTGCAATCGGTTGTTTATGAAATATTGTCTTCCATGTCACTGCTTCCTGCCAGACTGTAAGCTCCTGGAAGGAAGGGCCCCAACCCTCTCCACTGTTGGCACTACCCACCTTCTTGGTGAATATTGTTGAATGAATAAATGTAGAAGGCAAGCCCCCTGGTAACTTTCTCTTCTTTTGAGAAATTTTGACCATCTTTAGTCCCATGAAACCCCTGCGCACCGCCCCCTCCCCCCGGCCCATGCCCTTCCAGGAAACGTGGGCACCATGCAGCTCGACGTCCACTCCTGGCAGCCTTACCTTTGTTTCTAGCTATTGAAATGAGTTTATTCCGTATGGATTCGTCTGGAGTGTCGAAGGAGCAGAAGGTGCCTCGTCCTCTCACTCTGCTGATGAACTGGGGGTACCGGGCCTACAGTGGGGAGAGACAGCAAGCCTGTCACCTGTGTAGCTGCTGCGGCAACACTGTCCTCCGCACCTCTTCTCAGAGCCAGGAGCCTTAGTCAGCCACCTGCGAGGTGCCTTGTCCTCCAGGACCCGTCCTTGTGACTAGGGCTGGGTTGCATCCACTGGCACATTTAAGAGACCTACAAAGAGAACAGTCACCTCTGATACTTTAAGTGAAAACATGAATTAGGCAAACTAATCAGTTTGACGACTTGAGATCGGGGCTTTCTCAGAGCGTAGTGGAAACGGCTTCCTTCAGCCCCGGGACTTGCTTTTCTGGGGTGCTGTGACTTCACTTGCAGGGTCTGAGCGCCCATTCCTGCTTTCTGGTCCGAAGCCACGGGGCTATCTCGCAATCTGACCGTGACTCAGGGGATGTCTTGGATCATCTGAACGCTACTGCTTCTCTTTTGTTCCAGCACTTTCCATGTGTCCCATCCATGCCCTGTGCCAGGCCGTGAACTCTGCCTGTAGCTTTGTATCCTGAGAGCTGGCGTGATGCCTGCTCACGAGGAAGGCAGCTGTGAGTCCACATGGACCTTATGGCCGCTCAGCTCAGGACAGGGAGCGGCCCGCCTTTGTGACAGCCTTAGAATAAGACCCTACTGAGCACAGACCGGGTGTAGCCCATAATCCGGCACAAACCACCACCATCAGGGCCCAGCTGTCCCCCAGGGAAAGAAATGCCTGGCATTTCTCCTGCTGCACTGGTGACAGGGCAGGAGCACTGGGGCAGGAGGGAAGGGCCCGACCTTTTGACCCTTCGAATCTTCCCAGAAGCTTTTCCTAGCACCTGCCCCTGCCCAACCTCAGTCTAAATGCAAATCCAGCCCAAGAAGAGAAAAAGAAATTCCGCTGACAGCTGCACAGCACAGCTGAAGGGTCTCAGCTGTCTTCATGGCCACACTTAACCCCTTCAGAGTCTTTGCAGTCAGGCAGATCTGGGTTTAAAGCTCCCTGTTCTCACCCAGAAAATGAGGATAATTGTATCTTCCTAATTTCAAGTTGTTCCGAGTTAGGGGGTGCCAGAAAAAATACAAGACGTGCAGCTACATTCCTGATGAACAACTTATAATTTTCTAGTATAAGTATGTCTCACATGTTGCATGGGATATACTAATGCTAAAAAATTTCATTGCCATTTAAAAAAAATTTCACCTGGAGCCCTGTATTGTAATTTGCTAAATCTGGCATCCTACCAGGGGGAGGAGGATGGTGGTCCCTGAAGTTCTCACCTCTGCCCTGTGACTGGAACCAAGTCAGTGCCTGCCTTTCCCCCCTTGGAATTCAGACTTGTGAAATTTATATTTAACTAGGGGTCCTGCCTTTTTTCCCCCTCCTAAATGCAGTAACCCTATTTTAAGGATTAAATGAGATAAGGCACTTAACACAATGCTTGGCACAGAGCAGATTCTCAATTAATGGAAATAATAATAATAATAAAAAAATTATTATTAGGCCCTTGATCATGTCAGAGAGGTAAACACTGGCAAAGAACATGGACTTTGAAGTCCATCAAATCAGGTTCAAACCCCAGAGTTGGCACATGGAAGCTGTGTTAATGTTGGGCAAGTTAATAATGCTCAACACCTCAGTTTCTTCATCTGCAAAATAGGGATAAGAGTGGTGTCTACACCCAAAGCATTGCTGTTAGACTTTAATGAAAGAGTGTATGAGCAGGCTCTCAATAAAAGGAAGCTGTTATTACTACCATCCCCTCCCTTCATCATCACCATCACCACCAACATCACCACCATCATCACCACCATCACCACCACCATCATCAACATCACCATCATCACCATCACCACCACCATCACCACCATCATCACCACCATCATCACCATCATCAACATCACCATCATCACCATCACCACCATCACCACCACCATCATCATCACCACTATCATCACCATCATCACCACCCCTCAGTGGTTCTGCTCAGCTCTTGGGGGACTGGCTGCTTCAAGATTTCAGAGGAAGAGCTCTTTGTGTCCAGACATCTGGGGAGGGTCATCTCCCCTCCTAATCCCTGGGCCAGACTAGCCAGTCCTGGAAACACTGTGGTTCCACCCAGAAGCATCCCCCACCCCCAAATCTAAGATGTGTTGGGCAGGGAGTAGACATAACAAAGACAAATCACTATAATAGAGAGCTCTACTGTCCAATGAGTGGTCACACGTGGCTGTTAAAATGCGCTGAGGACAAACTGGGATGGGTGGTACGTGTAAGATACACACTGGGTTTCAAAGACAGCATGGGAAAAAGACCATGAAATAACAAGTTATTTTCTATCCTGGTGGCACATGGAAATAATATTTTGGATACGATGGGTTAAGTAAAATATATTTTTCAAATTAATTTCACCTCCTCCTTTTTCACTTTTAGCATGGTTGTGAGAACCTTTTGGATGATGTGTGCAGCTGGCAATGTAACCCCTGGAGAGCACTGCTGCAGAGTGATCTGGATGTAGAAGGTCACAGAGGAAAGGACAGGGGACACACTGGTGGGAATGAGAGAGAGGGAGCATTTGGGAGGTTTTGCAAAGGAGGGATGTCTGAACTTGGTGGCAGAAGAAAACCAGGAGTTCAGGAACTGGGAATGAATGGGGTTAAGACGGAGGAGTGGGAAGGCATTCTCTACAGAAACAGACAGCATGGACCTTTCAGAATCTCTGGAGCAGCAGGTGCAGTGCTGTGCTCAAGAGCTTAGGTGTTGCCCTGGGAGCTGTGAGGCGGTGACGGATGGGGTCCTGGGAGGGCGGGGGCGGGGCCGGGGCCGGGGCCGGGGCCGGACAGGGGTACCTGGAGGTCCAGCAGGCCCGTGAGCAGGGCCTTCCCGGCATGCGCGGCGTTGTTCAGAAGGTCCTCCCGCTTGATAATGTTGATGACCTCGGCCAGCAGCAGGTTCTTGGATGGGTCCCCCAGCCACGTGTTGAAGATCCGGTAAGGCTGGGAGGAGGCACAGGGTATCAGAAGGGCTCTGGGCCTCCCTGAAGGGGCCACGCCTTCTCCCCCTTTGAAGGAGACACACTAACCCAGTGAGCAGCTACTAAGGGCTGGAAGGACACCACATATGGTCTCACCAAATTCTCTCTATAGCTACATCCCTACAGGTGGGTACTCCTGTTAGGGACCCCAATTTGTCCAGGGTCTGGGAAATCCCTCAGTCCTGGGGAGACCAAGACAGTGGCCCTTAACTACCATACTCCTCATTTTATAAAGGAGGAACCTGAGCTTCTGAAAGGTTAAGTGATTTGTCTGTGAAAATACAGCTCTAAGGTGGTGGAGTCAGGAGTGGATTCTTGGCAGTCTGACCCTCAAAGACCACCCGCTTTACTCCTCCACAAATTACTCAGGGTGTCAATGCAGCCAACTAAAACACACTTTCCAGCCTCTCTTACAATTAGGAGTGGTCATGTGACCAGACCCTAATCAAAGGTGGTAGAAATAGAAGCATTGTGGGATTTCTGGGAAGGCTGCTTGAAGATGAGAAGGGGGTCACTCTGCCCTCCTGTCCTTTTTCCTTCCAATTGCCTAGAATTGAGACGTGATGGTTGGAGTTCCAGTAGCCATTTTGGATCATGAGGTAAACTTCAGGGTGGAAACTATATGCAGGAATGGTGGAAGGAAGAATCCTGGGCCCCTGCTGAATCTGTGTGTGTGTGTGTGTGTGTGTGTATGAGAATCCATATGTACATGTGGCAGTACAGTGAAATGGTTAAGAGCCTGGGCTCTGGGTTTGAATCCTGACTTTGTCACTTAACAAGCTGTGTGAACTTAGACAACTTAATTAACCTCTCTGTGCCTGATTCCTCATTAGCAAAATGGGAGAGAAAAATAACACTGGCTTGGTTTCATTGCTGTAAAGCTTAAAAGGAGTAATTAGAATTAGGCCAAGCAAAGAGCAAATGCTCTGTTCACGGCAGCCGCTGTTAGGAGAAGCCTGATGATGGACCGCTGTGAGGTCAGCCCTGCAGAGAGAGCTGGGGTGATCGTAACCATTGGCTTTAAAATAGATTGATAAGAACTGGGTTGGGAAACCTCTGTGACATGTGAGATATCCACTCAATTCCTTGTTTGCGAGAAAGTAGCAGTTATGGGAAAGCGATGCCCTTTGATCCGCCTCCCCACCCGAGTCCTGGGCAGGAGAGAAGGGCGGGGTCCCCACTCACAGCGTTGGGCCTGAACTCCTCCTTGTGGAAGAAGCCCCCAGTCATCATCTTCTTGCTGAAGGTCATCACGTCTGCCGGGTCATCCAAGCCCCAGTGCTCGTGGGCCCAGAACTTGCCGGTGCAGCCCCCTCCTGTCTGGACCTCATCCACCAAGAAGGCGCAGCCGTGCTGGCCGAGACGGGAGAGAGATGAGGGAGAAATAAACACCCACCACTGGCCAACCGTGGACCCCGAGTCCAGCCAGAGAGTCACTGCTTCCTGAGCTGCAAGCCAAGCCCATGTTCTTCGGCTGCGCAGAACCACACCAACGCCTCAGCAGGGCGGGTCCAGCAGAGCTGCATCTGCACGTGCCCGCAAACTGCTGAGCTGGAAGGAAACCGGAACGTCAAATGCTCCCTGAGCGCAGCACAGCCTCCTTTCATCGGTTTGGGTCCCTGAACAAGCTGACGTGCTCAGAAGGAAGTGTGTCCCAGCTGGAAGGCAGCCCCATTTCCCAAGCTTCCGGTGCTGTGTTTGCCAGTTCTGCTCATCACCCAGACTACTGTTTTCTTAGTTCTTGGGTTTAAATCAACTCATGTCACATCACCTCTATCTGTGAACTGACTGGTTGGACATGCCAGCTCTACATGCAAGTGACATTAAAATGAACACAATATTAACAAAAGTTTGCTCACTGGCATCTGTTGGGTGTGGACCACACTGGACTGAAAGGTGAGATGGGATCCCCAGAAAGAAAAGGGAGGAGTCTGAGGACTTCACCAAGAGTCTCTTGATGGGGAATGTCCCCGATTAAGACAGCAGGTTGGAGGCAGATTTTGGACCAATTCCCTGTCCTGCCCTCACCCCCGACTTCTCTACCCATGAGGACCTGACAGGCAGCCTCTGAACATCTGGAAGTTTACCAGGACCCCGAAGATAACCCTTTGCTCTGGAAAACCAACTGCAAATGGCCTGTGGCCCAACCCAAACCCCGGCCCTGGGCGCTGACCTTCCTGGAGATGTCTCTCAGCTTCCGGAAGAAGTCGTCCGACGCATGGTTGTCTCCGCCCTCAGACTGGATGGGCTCCACGATGATCCCGGCCACCGTCTTCTTCTTCTTCCGGTACTTCACGATCAGGTCCTCCACCTGCGTGCCAAAGGGGGGAGGCTCCTGAGCAGTCCCCGAGGATGGGGGCCAGGAGCCTCTGGAAGTTACATTGAAAATGTGTTTGTGCGCACTTTCGGCACAGACGGTGGCATCTGCTCGGAGCTGCACACATGGATGGGGTGTGTCCCACCTGGGGTTGGCGCTACCACCTGTGGGGATGGAAACTAAGAACCCAGGGCAAATATTTAACCTTCCGGAGGCTCGCTCTGCTGATCTGAACTATGCGCGTCCTGACAGAACCTACCCACCGGGTTGCGGAGAGGACTGACTGCAATCACACAGCACAGTGTCCGACATACAGAAGGTGGTGGCTGCTGCTACTGTCACTCCTCGCAACACTATACTATTGCTGTTACTGTTATTATTGGTATGAGAGACCTTTCTGCACAGCATCTCAGCTGTCTGTTGGTTTAAAATCTGTTGTAAAACTCGTCTATTGTGATAGAAATCCACGCAGTGGTTGCATGGGGTGGGCTAGGGGTTGACTTCTCAGACTGACCCAAGGAAGTTTTCCAGGGTGATAAGATACCCTTGATTGCAGTGATGGGTATGTGAGTGTATTTATTTGTCAAAATACGTTGAACTAGACACTTTTAAAAAGTGCATTTTTGGCATGCATTTTGGCATGCATTTTATGGCGTGAAAATGAGTGCATTTTAAACTATATGTTAATAAAATCAATTTTAAAAATTTAAACTGTTAACAGTGATGGAGCAGTAAGAAAACACCTGATTTTCCCCAAGTGGTTATATTTCTTGAACTCTTGTTCTAAAATGGGCATCACCTTATAGATAATTAAAGAGTAGTAATTGTGATATTTTATTAATAATTAATTAATTAATTAATTATATATAATTAAAAACTCAAACCATACACCCAGGTAGAGTAACAAGTGTAATTTTTCTCTGCTATGCAAAATTAAGAAAAAATTTTCTGTTTGGACGATGTGACTTTGGCCTTGGTCTCACCAATCGCCCCAAGGAAGCTCTGAGATGCTTTTCTTTGTTTTTAGAGTGTCGTTTGCAATTTGTCATTGTGTGGCTACTTCCTTGTTTATTTGTCCAACGCTGTGTTTCTAACTACCCTGCGCTCTCCGATAGGATGCAGGAGAGACACGTGGCTACTGAGCACTTGGAACGTGGCTGGTCCCAACTGAGATGTGCTCTCAGTGTAAAATACACCCTGGAGTTCAAAAATCTAACATGAAAAAAAAATATAAAACCACCTCATCAATAATTTTCAAATATGAATGACATGTTGACACAGTGATATTCTGGATACACTAGGTTCAATAAAATGTTATTAAAGTTAATTTCACTCATTTCTTCTTACTTTTAAAAAATGTGGTGACTGGGAAATCTGTACTCACACGTGGCTTGCCTTATATTAGACTCAGTCATTTTGTCTCTCTCTCTTTTTTTTATCATCTTGTCTCTTTTATTTACCACTAAATACCTAGCACCTTGCACCCTGCTTCACACCTAGTAGGTGTTATCTATTCATTAAAAAGAATGATGAACCTAAGAGGCAAACCATCTTCAAATCAGCCTTACTTGAGCTCAAATCCAAATCTGAAGGGTGACACTCCTGCCCTGGGCAACAGAATCCTTCCAGTGTCTTATGAGGAACCCCGATATACGGAACAGATAAAAGGGGGGCTGTCCTGGTTGAAGTGGAGGCATGGTGATGGGGGCAGCCCATTCTCTGTCCCGCCCCTGCCACCACTGCAACCCCCAAGGCTCCCCAAAAGCCCCAGGATTCAGGAGAAGACTGAATGAGTGGACTAGAGGGGCCTGTAGAATTTTTTTTTTTTGCAGGGGGAGGTAAGTAGGTTTATTATTTATTTATTCATTTGATGAAGGTCCTGGGGATTGAATCCAGGACCTCATGCCTGCTAAGCTTACGCTGTACCACTGAGCTGTACTCTCTCCATGGAATCATTTTTCCTATGAGCTGCTCTATATTCTTCCAATCAGCTCATTTTCTCTTATTCTAGCATCAGTGAAACTTGCCCCCGAAGAAACTTAAATGATACAGAGGTCGGTACTAGGAGCGGGGTTGATGGAGGCTGGGTGGAAAAATCAGTGTCTCATTACCTTTCGTAACACAGAACATTGCGACATGAGGCTGCTCGTCCCTAAGTCCTACCCAGGGAGTGTCACGTGGGTCCCCCGATAAACTCTGTGTGTTCCTCTTCTCCAGGGCTAGGTCTTGAAGCGCTGAGGATAAGGAGGCAGGGGTGAGGGGAGGCTCTGGGAGGTCTGGGAGTTACCTCTTCTAGACAGCGGGCCTCTTCCTGCTGGTTCTCCTTCACAAACTCTTCCAGGGGATACTTCAGCCGGGGGAATGGTGCGATGGGCCAGTCGAAGGAAGGGATGTCGATCTTGTGAATGGCTTTGGAGTGCGTGGTCGCTAAGCAACCTGAGCCCAGCAAAAGAAGAGCAGAGGTTGGCTCAGGGAAGGAGGAAGGACGGTCCCTGAGAAGGAGATGGGGCAGCCCAAGTCTTCACATGCCTGGGGAGGCGGGTGCCCACAGAACCCACAGAACCCTGGTTCTTGAAACATTGTGATGCTGAAGTGGCACCCGTGTGTCTCACACTGTGTGTGTGTGTGCTTTTGCTTTCTGATTTATCACAGACTAAACACAGACTTGGAAGGCAGAAAGACAGGGGTTCAAATCTTAGCTCTGCCATTGAATGGCCTTGGAATGCCCTTCCCTTGTTGAGCCTCGATTTCCACATCTGCAAAGTGGGAATACTCATCCGCAGTCTGCAGGGAACGATGTGGAATCAACGGGACGATGCGCGGAAGCCGCCCACGCGAGATCGGAGGCGGCTGTCGCTATTGGTGGTGATGTTATTACTCCTCCAACTGCCACCTCGGGGTCCCAGGGGCCCTCCTTACCCATGGTCCTCCCGTGGAACGCGCCCATGAAGGAGAGGATGCTGTAGTCAGGGCACCCGGGGGCCTAGAACCAGGAAACAGCCGTCAGTCAGGGTTGTGAGCTGGGCTCTACCTGGTCGCCCCCACGCACCTCGAGGGGCACAGAAGTCTAAGAATCGGGGACGCCTTCTCAGGCAGCAGCCACAGACTGGACCACTATGGTCTAGATTCAGCCCAGAGATGTTCTGGCTTTTTTAATCAAGAGATTTCATTAAATGAATATCTGAACCTCTCTGTCTTCTCACAAGTTCTGCACCATTTGGGCCCATCTTTCTCAGGCAAGCCTGAAGGTGGGCAAGCACACTCCCCCTGGCCCGCCACCCATCTTTCTCCTTTCTGTCGCTGGCCGGGTTGTCTACAGGCTCTTCGAGACCCTCCCAGACCGCCCTCCTGCCCCTCCTTCCTGGCTCAGCTCCCACAGCCCACAGATGGGCCAGGTGCGTATCTGCCTCCCGGGACCTGAGGCTGAGCTGGGCCCCTTGCAGGACACACCCAGGCCTTTGGAAGAGGTCTGCTGAGCCAGAGTGAGAGGGCGGGTGGGAGGACCCCGAGCTTTCCCTCTCCCCTCGGCGCTTCCCCGGGGTTCAGGAGGGATGCATGAACTCCCAAGCCTCTCCCAGCCCGAAGCAGCACTGCCTTCTGAACCCCCACCTGGCCAGGGAATCAGACCTGTTTCCAGGTGTCTCAGGGGCTGGGGATGCTGCAGAGGCCACCTTGGGGGCCCCTGAGTCTCTGGGAGGTTGCACAGCGTCTTCTCAGGCTGCCTGATTCCCACTGGGTCCCTGAGATCCCCGGGAAAAGCTCCAAGACCTCCTCCCATAAACTCCTGAATATCCTTTGGTCATTTTCCTTTGTTTGCCTCCTGATTATAAACGTGATAAAGAGGCACACCTCACTTTATTGCGCTTGGCAGATGTTGGATTTCTTATAAACTGAAGGTATGTGGCCATCCTGCGTCAAGCAAGTCTGTTGGCCCCACTTTTCCAACAGCATTTGCCCACTTTGTGTCTCTGTGTCACATTTTGGTAATTCTCAGAGTATTTCAAACTTTTTCATTATTCTTGTATTTGTTATGATGACCTGTGATCTTTGATGTTGCTACTATGAGTAGCTGAAGGCTCCTCATACTTTAGCAATAAAGTAGCTTTAAATTACGAAAAGCACTTCTTTTTAGACATAAGGCTACTGTACACAATAGACTACACTGTAGTGTAAACGTGACTTTTATATGCACTAGGGAATCAAAAAATTAATGGGATTCGCTTTACTGCAACATTCGCCTCATTGGGGTGGCCTGGAACGGAACCCGCGATAGCGCTGAGGTTTTTGCCCGTATACTTACTTACATGGCTGAGAGCACAGGGTCCATATGATTTACATCCCACTGTTTATGGTGCACTTGTCTCCAGGCCAAGAGAAGCCCTTTGTGACTATTTTGGCTGCAGGACTTTGTGGACGCACACAGTGGGTTTTTTTTTTAATGCAGTAGCCACTTCTGTCTAAATCACACTGGGATTTAGGCGAAGGAAAGGCCTGGTCTGGCTGCAGCTGGCTGGGGAGCCTGGAGTCCTGCCCACCTGGCCTTCCCTGAGGCTGTCCCCCGACCGCTGTCCCCCAGCACTGGCCTCCTCGGTGCCTCCTTGAACTTCTGGGGTTCCATTCGGAGCCCCAACACTTAACCCACCTTTCCCCATTCCTGGATGTGCTGGTGGTCTCCAGTCTTTTCTGGTGACTGTTACTCCCAATGTCAGTGAGTGAACACCCAGGCAGGTACATTTGCACTGACATTTTGGATTATTCTAGAGAATACACTAAAGGCCATTTTAGATGGGTCTGATTCAGCCAGTTGTCCTGGGAAACTGATGAATGCCAGCTGGACAAGCCCCACTCAGCCTTGAAACCAAGGGAATGAGCTAGGGGGTTGGAATGTTTGGGGACCCCTCGTCATGGGCTGAATGTCTATGTCTCCCCCTCCCCAAATTCACATGTTGAAGCCCTAACCCTCAGTGTGATGGTACCTGAACGTGGGGCCTTTGGGAGGCAATCAGGGTTGGACGAGGTCATGAGGTTGGGGCCCAGTGATGGGATTAGTGCCCTCATAAGAATGGACACCAGAAAGCCGCTCCCTCTCCCAGATGTGTGGGGACACAGTGAGAAGGTGGCTGTCCCCAAGCCAGGGAGAGAGCTTGCCCTGGGAAACCAGACTGGCTGGCCCCTTGACCTTGGTCTTCCGGCCTCCAGAACTGCGAGAAAACACATAATGCATGCCTGTCGTTTAGGTGCCCCCGTCTGTGTCCTGGTGTTTGTCACGGCAGCCCGGGCTGGCTAAGACATCTTTCTGTTCGAGAAGGACAGGGCCCCCTGCACCGAGGGAGCTGGAAAGGACGCTGTGCTCACCTGGTTAATCATGCACGTCTCCAGCTCCTCCTTGGAGAAACCTGACTGGCCCCTTTCCTTGCTCTGACAAAACAACAGAACAAACGCTCAGATGCTCTGCAGTGGGGAGAGCTTCCACTTTCCACCCAAACTGACGTTTAGTCCTGACAACGGGGGGGTGCTTTCAGCGCTGATATTATATGTCGAGGTTACACGTATGTGCTGAAGCCCGAGCCTGTTCACTGTGCTTGTGGGTCAATAAATAGATGGAAGCACAGGGTGTATGATAGTCGATTGGCAACCACGAAGATCTGTGCGATACTGCGTCTTATTCTGAGAAAGACAGTGTCATTACTTTGGGGAGGGGGGGCACCATACCCCGCTGGGATGTTAGGAAAGCCTCATCCAGGCAGTGGCCCTTTCCGGATTTTGACCATGGTCACTGATGTCCAATATTCTGGCCAGCTGATACGAACAGTCGGACAGGGGCTGTGTGTGTGGCTGGGTGCTGGGGAGTGAGAGAGTGTGTGTGTGTGTGTACGTGTGTGTGTGTACTCACGCATGCACGCCCCAGACCTCACCCGGTACCACATGAAGATGGTCTTGAAGGCGTTTTCATTGGAGCAGGAGCCGCAGGCCATGGTGATGAGCTGCGACATTCCTTTGGGAGCCACCTGTCAGGAGGGAAGCAGCTGTGGGCTCAGTTCCATAGTGACTCCCCGCACCCCCAGCAGGAGCTGGGCCTCGGCAGGGGCCACACGCTGGCCCCTGGGGGCCTCAGGAGGGTGGGAGGGAACCAGGAATGTCCTGGAAGCAGCAGGACTGGGAGGGTGGGAGAGACGCCCAGAAGGACCCCAAGGCTGAGGCCAGAGAGGGAAAAAGGCAAAGAAAAGCCCAGATGCAACCTCGGCCCGGAGACACCCGCATTTTACAGGTTCTGAACAACTCTAATTGTGTAGCAACTGAAACCCAAAGTGGAGGCAGACTGAAGACCACAGGCAAAGCCTCTGTGGTGGGACCAGGATTAACTTCCCAGGCTCTCTTTCTCCTGAGCACAGGGGATTCCAGCTTTTGCTCTAAAGGAAAATTCAAGACTCTTTATGGAAGTAACAGCATGAGGAGTCAGACTGAAGTAGAGACACCCCATCCTTAATTGTTCCAGATCTGAATCCTTTCCTGCCCCTGCTGGTCTGGCCTCCCAGAGATCAGAGCTGCCAGCCAGCAGGGAGGTGTGGCGGAGGTGGGTCCTCACAGTGATGGGCTGTCCCCTCAGGACTCACCGAGAGCAGGGACTCCCGGAGCTTCTCCACAAAGTTCTCCGGAGGAAGGATTCCGAGCGCAGGTCTGTTGATGAATGTGCTCTGCAAAAGAACCAAGAGACCAGCGGTGACTTCCTGGGCCTGAGCCAGCTTCCCGCCCACCAGCTTTTCAGAGCGGATGTGTTCCATGCTGCGGGGAGTGACAGACTTCCCTCCACTTTTAGAAAAATACACCAGGATTCCGCTGGGTTTGAAAAAGAAGTGTCACTCTCTTGGTTGGGATATTGTACTATTGTTATATAAGATGTTACCACTGGGGGGAACTGGGTGGAAAATACATGGGACCTCTTTGTACTACTCTTTGCAATTAATTTCCTGTGGATCTGTAATCTTAGAAGAAAGAAAAACCCATCACAATAGCTAAAAAACAGAAGATGGACAATAACAATTACTGGTAAGGGTACAGAGCAGCTAGAATGCTCATTTGCAGCTGCTGGGGATGTAACATGGGGTGGCTGCTTTGGAAAACAGGTGGGCAGTTTCCTACGATGTTAAGCAGACACGCCCCCTATGACCCAGCAATCCGCTCCGAGGTATTATTTATCTAAGAGAAATGCGAGCACATGTCACACAAAGACGTGAATGGACGTAAATGTTTGTAGTAGTTCTTATCTTCAGTCGCCAAAAAATGGAAACAACCCACATGTCCTCCCACTGGGGAAACAATCGAATAAACTGTGGTACGTGCACACTGTGGAATACTGCGCAGCAATGAAAAGGAACACTCTCCCAACACACGTAATAACATGGAAGAACAGGAAAGGATCTCAAAGGCATGAGGCTGAGTGGAAGAAGCCAGAATCAGAGGGTCATACCCTGCACGGCTCCGTTCCATGACACTCTGGAAAAAGCAAAACTGTAAGGACAGAAAGAAGCTCACGGCTGTCAGGGGTTGGGGTGGGACTGACTGCAGTGAGCTCAGGGGAACATTTAGGGAGAAGAACTGTTTGCATCTGGATTTGCTTTTGATTGTGGTTAAAAAACAAGTAGCATAAAATTGACCATCCTGTCATTTATAAGCACATAGTTCAGCGGTGTTAAGAATATTCATATTGTGGTACAACCATCATCACCATCCATCTCCAGAACTCTGCCATCTTGCAAAACCGGAGCTCTGCTACGGCTAAACACGGAGCCCCCATTCCCCTCCTCCCCTAGCCCCTGGCAACTACTGTTCTACTTCCTGTCTCAGATTTTGAGGACTCTAACCACCTCAGATAGGTGGAATCAAACAGTATCCGTCCTTTTGTGACTGGCTTCTTTCACTTAGCATAACGTCCTTCAGATTCATCCACATTACAGCGTATGGCGGAATTTTTTCCTTTTTGAGGCTGAATAATATTCTGCTGTATGGATATGCCCCATTTCCTTTCTCCATTCCTCTGTTGATGGAGACTTAGGTTGCTTCCACAGGCATTCTCTCTGCAAGAAAATCAACAGTGCAAGCCTGATGCTAAACAGATACTCGCTTCTGATACCCAGGAAACGAGGGAGCATTATTTACAACAAAAAGGAGAACCACTGTAAATGCCAACATTGGGTTAAGTAAATGAACACGTTAACTGAAGGTGATGTTCTGTGGCTGGTAAAAAAGGCATTTAAAAAAGAGGTTATAATTTTATATTAGAGTTCATTCTGAGTGTTGTACGTTCTATAGGTTCTGACCAATGTGTAATGACATGTGTCCGCCATTATAGAAAAGATACAAATGGAAATGGTAATGGGGTAACAGAGCCGCCCTGTCCCTGGAGGTCCAGCCAGTGCCCCCCAGTGCCTCCTAGCAGGATCAGGAAGAGTCTGGGAGGGGTCTGCATGATAGGTAAGTAATGTCACCAAGAAGTGGATCTGGGTTAAAAAAAAAGGACTGTATTAAATACAATGGGGCATCCTGGCTTGGATCCTGGGACAAAAAAAAAAAGGCACTAATGGAAATTTTGGGGAAATCTGAATAAAATCTGTAGAATGTAACATACCAACATCAATTTCTCAGTTTTGACAAGGGTACCATGGAGAGGTGAGGGGTTAACACTGGGGAGAAATGGGTGAATGGTAGGTGGAAACTATCTTGACACCTTGCCTATAAATCTGAAATTAGTCTAAAAGAGAAACATTTAGTTAAGGGGGCGCGGGGTGGATGAACTAAGCCTGGGATTTGGGCACTTCTCAGGCACCTCTCCTCTGACTCAATCCTGTAATAAGCCCGGTGCAAATCTAAACAGTGGCATCACCGCACAGGAGGAAACCCGAGGACAGGGAGGCCCAGAACGCATCCTTCAGGCGGCACTAGACATCGTGGCAGGTCCGTTATCTGTTGCTTTTTCTGCTTTGTGACCAGCTGGCTGGGTCTAGAACAAGCACTGGGGGGGAGTTAACCATTCTCATTGTAGAGCTGGAGAAACTGAGGACCAGAGAACTCAAGCAACCTGCCCCAAGTCACACAGACAGGACAGGGCAGAACCACGACTCAAATCCATATTTGCTGAACTCAGATCCCATCCTCTGCCTGTCACTGCAGGCAGCCTCCACCCAAAAAATGTGAATGCTAGCTGGATACGAGTTTGCTTGGCACAGTCTGGAGACCCCGGGTGGCCTGTGGGGGCCACCGAGAGGCCCTTTGTTTTGGCTCTGAGCTGTTAGCGGGGCTTTGAAGAAATCAAGCACATCGTGGCATCAGGGTGGAGTGGGGGAAGCAGGTGACAGAGCGGACGGCCGAGCTGGCAGCGTGACTGCCTGTCTGGGCCCAGGGAAGAGGTGGGGGTGGCGTTCTTGTTCGGCAAAGCGTGACAGTAAGAACAGAAGGTATCTGGGACATGGGATAGCAGAATCAATTGAGGACAGGTTGCTAGAATTGTTGCCTTCAGACCCCGGAGCTATAAAGCGCAGTGTGAAGACAATGAACTTTGGTTTAAGTTGCTTTGCAACCTGGGGCAAGCCACTTAACCTCTCTGGTCTTTAGAGTCCTCATTTGCCAAAATAAGGACCCCTCCTGGGATAGCCAGTGAGAGGATATAGCACACAGATGAGGCAGAAGCTCAGTTTTGAAGGACAGAATTATGTAGGTGGACAGGCCTGGAATTCACAATGATGGCACATGTCTACCTGACCAGGCCAGCTGCTCCACAGCCAGCCACGGTGCCACGGATGTCAGATGGCACTCAACATTTATTGCAGGACCATGCGTGTGCAATGCCCAATAATCACTGTCTGACCTGTGGGCAATGTGATGAGGTGGCTCTGGTGACATAAGAAGTCCTAACTAGAGCCCAGATATTGGACCCAACAGACATGGTTTAGTGTTTTGCAGCCACATGAATTATGTGGGAGTTTCAGGGTGACGTGGTTGGGGTACCAAAGGGTTGATGAGCCCCTTTCTCAGGACTTCCATGACTTGGCAGGGGCCTGGCCCAGGGCAGGTAAAATACCATGACCACCAGAGCGCGTCTCCCGCCAAGAGTTTGAAAAACCCAAGACATTGATCGATGGCCATCTGGTCAGATGCCCGAGATGTACCCTGCTGAGCTTCCGGCAGTCAGCTGTCTCTTCTCTAGGACTGTGCCAGTCGTCCTGCCCCACACCCAGCCCTCTGCAGAACAAGACTGTGACCCAGACCACGATCCAGACCACCATCCAGACAGTGCTCTAGACTGGTCTAGTCTGTGATCCAGACTGTGAGAGAGACTGCTCTGGACAGTGATCTAGATGGTGATCTCGCTATCAAACACAGCACTAAGAACAGGGCCCAGCACATAGTAGGTATTCAATCAATGAGTGAACAAACAAATATCTAGAAATAAGGCTGAAGAAGCAGCAGCCAGATCACCAGGGCTTTGCACTTGAAGTGGAGGAGCTGGGAGGCATCCTGAAGGCAGTGGGTACCAGGAAAGGGCTCCAGGCACGGTGCAGTTTGGGAGGTGGTTTGGGGGAGGTGAGAATGGACGTGGAGGTGGGAGGAAGCGATGAAGAGGGGCTGGCTGGGACATCCAAGTGGAGAGGTGGAAGGGGCAGAGCTAGGACTGGTCCCTGACTTGGTGAGAGGTGAGAGGTGGGAGAGGGAGGGGAGGATGAAAAGGATGAGGTGTGCGCCCAGGTTCCAGGCAGGGACAGGTGGGGGCAGGGCATCCCCCGAAATCAGAATCCCCTGGGCCTGGAAATCACGCGCTGTTGGGGCGACTGCCTCCGGAGACAGCTGACACCGCAAATGTGTCTGGCGTGTTTGTTGACACAGTTTTTCAGCACCAACTGCCGAGGCATCTGGGATCTGCACAACGTTTCGAAACAAAGCCGGGCTTTGAATGTAAACACACGCGTGGAGCCACAAATGGGCCTCGCCAGACGCCCTCCGGAGGACGCGGCTTCCGCTAGAGCAGCCCCTGAACTTGTCAGCTAATCGGAGGCGAGAATGTCCCCAGGATCCTCCCAGGCAGGCACACTCACGTGTAAAGAAGACACGTGTTCTTTCCTATTATCTTTGACTTCTCCGGAATCACATTCCTTGTCATGTGTGGACACGTATGTCGCTCTGAGTGAAACGACAGCCCCCAATGACTCGTGGTGCCCGGAGGATGTGGAGCGGCCAGAGCTCTCACTGCTGGAGGGAGTGGAAATACCATGGCCAGTTTGGAAAACTGTCTGAAGGGATCTGCTGAGGCCGACCGTGTGCTCACAGCCCAACCAGAGATGCCACTCCAGCCTTGCATCCAAGGGGACACGTCAGTGTGTCACCTAAAGATACACACTTTCAGGTTCACAGCAGTGGCTTTTGTAGGAAGCGACCCAAATGCCCATCGGCAGTAGGCAGGGTGTTAATTGCAGTGTGTTCTCACAACAGGATGCTTAAAGCCAAGAGGATGGATGGTCTGCGGCTATACCCACCGAGGACGAATCTCTGGATGGGTTTTGAGTGAAACAGGCGAGATGTGATAAAGAGTACACACTGTACCTTTCCACTTATGTGCTGCTGGAAGTAAGGGCAGTGGCCTACCTAATTTGGTCTGGGGAAGTAACTGGGCGGGGGCGTGTTGTGGGGACCAGCTGAATCCAGTGGGGATGAAAAGCATCTAAGTTCTGTGGTGTGGGAAGCGCAGGCATCCCCCTGGCATATAGTATATACGTATGTACCATATACCACAGGTGGGCTGCAGGCACAATTATGGTTCCCAAGAAGATGCCCCAGCCTCATCCCATCCCCGGGACTGTGAATACGTTACGCGGCAAAGCGGACTTTGCAGATGTGGTTAAGCTTCCTGTTCAGTGCAGAAAGGAGACTGTTCTGGATTTTCTGGGTGAGCCTAGTGCAACCGCATGAGCCCTCTGCTAAGGGCAGAGGCAGAGGAGGGAGACAGAGAGAGGGACCAGACCGCGGCTGGCGTAACGCTGGAGGTGCCACGTGAAGCGAGCTCTGCCTGCGACCAGGACGAGCCCCAGAGCAGATCCTCGCCCAGAGCCTCCAGCTGAGAGCTGATCTCAGCTTCGAGAGCCCCAAGCAGAGCACCCAGCTGAGCCCGCCAGACTCCTGACCCACGTGATCCGTAAGACCATAAACAGGTGTTGTTTTAAACCCCTAAACTGGCAGAGGTCTGTGATGGCAGCACCAGGAAACTCACACAGGGTGGTATTAACATTTCATGGTGGGGAGAACAATTAGGAAAACAATGCCTAAAAAGGCTCCTACGGGAGTGATGGTGGAAAAAAGAGTTGAGAAACATGGGTTACTTGGGAAAATTCACTGCACAGTATGCTCAGTATGTATGCCTGTCTCTGCACGTGCGTTACAGCCGGTGTGATCAATCAGCGGCCCCCGCGTCAGAGAATAATCCGGCTCCAAACGTTAACAGTGCCGGGGACGAGACACTGTGTCACCTGGTCCCTGCCTGCCACCCCAGTCCTGCCTGGCTCCCTCTGGTCGCTCTGCTCCAACCTCACTGTCCTCTTTTTTCCTGAAGCTCGCTGCACCTCTCCCTCCCACCCTCCTCTCCCTGCAGGGACCTCTCTTCCATGGCTCCTCATCTGTTAACACTGTCTCCTCCTTCAGGTCTCAGCCCAGACATCACTATTCCCTGACCCCTCCACCCCTGAAAAGTCCAGCTCCTGTGGGTTTTATTCCCAGCACCTCCACTGGCTGTGTGATCTCAGAAAAATATTTAACCTCTCTGTGCCTCAGTTTCCTCATCTGTAAAACAGGGATAAGAACAGTAGCCCCCTCATAGACTTGTCAGTATTAGATCTAAGATGTGCCGGTTGCAGAGTTTATACATACTATGTTCTTAATTATTGTTCATCACTATTACCATTATCATTGTTTTGTGTCCACACGGTGCTGCTTGCCTCACTCTGTAGCATTTACTATGGTTGTAATTCTCTACTTATATGTGTGGTTAGTTGGCTGCCTCCATGGGAGCAGGGCTCACCCAAGTGCCCAGTGCACAGTATGTACTCAATAAATATTTATGGACTGAATGAATGCATGAATGAATGGATGGATGATAGACTACTTCCAAAGACTGCCTCAGTGATCCTCTGAATCACCACGAACACTCTGAGGACTCACCACATTTTGAGGCTGTTGGACGAGTTTCATGAGAGCGGGATGGCTGTAACCTGGGGAGAGGGAGATACGGTTAGAGACCAGCACCGTATCTGTGGGTGCCACGCCCCTCCCCCCACTGCCTGCCCCCTCCCTCCCCTTCCAACCCTGCAACTCTCTTCACATAAAGGGGTCCTCTGCAGATCAAAAAACCCATTCCTAGGCCCACCCCAGACTCTCTGACTCAGCATCTCTCAGGGTGAGGCCCCCAAAATCTTCCACAAATTCTCTGGGTGATTCTGATGTTCACATTGGAGACATACTGGACCAGACAGATGGTGAATGAAGGTTAAAGCAAACTCGAGACCAGGGCTGGGAGGGGTTTACCAGGCTGGCGTGACGAATTGCAGACGTGGTCCCTGCCTTCACCCCGAGCACCCACAGCTTGAGTCAGATCTCAACAAGCATTTGCTCAGGGGCTGGGGGGTGAAGGATGCCGTCTGCACTCCGTGACCAGCACGACTGATCCTGCCTGCACACATGTGCTCAGTCCAGCCCCAGACGGAGCCTGCTGCTTCACAGCGAGGATTAGGAGGCCCTTTGATTCTGCAACTGCTCTTCTACGAATTTATCCTACACGTATATAAAGACGTGTACACCTTTCTTCACTGTGACACTCCAACATCTCCAGGCTTGACAGCAACCTAACATCCATCAGCTGTTGCCAGGATTAGCGATAAGGAACACAAAGTCCCTCAAGCAAAGTAGATGCTTGATAAACGAAAGATTTTATCTCAGAGGAGGGAGGCGTGAGACAGGCCCGCACAGCACAGGAGCCGGGTGTCCTGGGTGCAGCACCTTCACTGCTGTTTATTGAGCGTCTACTATGTACAGGGGGCTTTCTGTTCCTTATCGACACTCTTAGCAATGACTCTCGCAGGAAGACCAAGTTCATAGGGAGGCCCTGAGGTCAGGAGACCAGATGTGAGACGCTCAAAGGCAGGGGCCAAGTGTTCAGCCCGACAGATATTAGTTGAATGAGTGAACAGAACTCAAAACTGTCACATAGGAGAAAAGACCAATCAGCGACTCTTGGAACAGGAAGTAGATTTTGGAGAAAAACTCCCAGCCATCAAGAATCACAATCTGTTTTTTCATCACGCATACCTTGTACCTATTTTCTTTAAACCGATTCACTTTGTAATTTAAAGAGATTGACTTTGAATGGACACTTCCTATCACTCTGGTGAGAGGCCTGCCCAAGGCGCTGAGCCTGGGGCCTGAGCGCCTCCATGTAAGAGATTAGCCAGTGTAGACGGGTATTAAAGACCGAGCATCACCCAGGGGAGACTCTCTCCGTGGAATCGGAGAGAAGAGACTTGAAAAGCCTTGTGGCTTCACGCTGCCCGCTGCAGGGAGCGCGGATGGGGGCAGTGATGTGGGGGCCGGGGCAGAGAGTAGCTCACGTCCTTCCTCGGCCTCCCACCCCTCCCCTCCCCACTCCAAGGCGTGCTGGGACCACGGCTGGGGAGCGCTTATTGCTCAAGGAAGGAACACACTGTGGGGTTCTTCCAGCTGATCCGCGGCCAGAGGTCTTTCTGACTCTTTATCATGCTGCCTGGCTGTTTATGACTTTTCTGCCTCAGTAGATAAGGCAGCTTCAGGGAAATCTTAAGCCCCGGATGCAGCTTTTCTTACTGGCTTCAGAAGGAGAGATGAAAGCAGAGTCGGCCTCTCTGATCAGGAAATCCTGCGCTGTGGGCCCCCCACAGGGCAGGGTGGGGGCAGCTGTCTGGAAGCTGCTATGATAGAAGTAAGCTTAGGAGGCACGGTCATTGGTTCAAATCCTCAGGCTCCATGGATAGCTGGGCAAACCCTGCAACCCCTTGAAACCTGGCTCCCCATCGGTAAACTAGAAGTGATATTAAAAGATACGATGTTATTGTTGCAGGGATTAAATGAGATGATATGGAAGGCATTTAGCAACATTCCAGGCATAGAGTAAATTCTCATTATTAGTTTAAAAAATCATCTCAAAAATACTGAAGATATGGGAGAAAAGGTGGCAGGGAAAGAACTTCTTAGAATTTCTGGCCTTTTAACAACTACCGCCAGCCTGATCGCCCTCATCCTCACATATATGCTGGCGGGCTGGGGATCTGGACTGAAGGAGCCCTGGGTGTGGTGCGGAGGATGGAGGAGTTAGCCAGGAAGAGAGTGGCCCACAGTGTTGGATAACTAGAGATCCAATCCCTTTCACTCCAACACAAAATGGAGATAGGGCTTTGTAAATCTCAGAATCCAAAACGCCTTCAGTGGGGAGGGTATAGCTCAGAGGTAGAGTGCATGCTTAGCATGCATGAGATTCTGGGTTCAATCCTCAGCATCTCCATTAAAAAAAAATGCCTTCAAAGACTGAGGCATCTCTGAATGATGAACTTCCCCAAAACAATGAGTCAGCCGCCTGCTGTCTAATCTCATTTTAATGGGAAATAGACAGGTTTGAGGGACCGGGCAGGGAAAGCAGAAGAGTCGTGGAGATCTAATGGGGGGGGTTGGGGGGAAAGGCCCTGGGGGGCGGGGCGGGGAGCTGCTGATGGGGAGCGAAGGAGGATGCTCTGGCACCATTCACGAAGGACAGGCTTCATCAGAAGCTCAGCCTACAGGCCAGTGAATGCACTGGGGAGGCCATCGACCAAAGAAACATCAACCATCCAAGCTGCCAATAGCAGCTGCCCACCTGTCCGATCAGCAGGCTCATCCCTTTGGCTGCCGTGCCCTCCTACGGCAGCGAGCCTCGCTCTGGATGGCCAGGAGGTGAGACTGATGAGGCAGATGCTACTGGTGCCCCACGGGGTCGCCTTTCCTGGGCAAGCCAGCCCTCTCCCAGCTGCTGTGTAGGTGTGGAGGGCGCAGGGAAGGGGGCTGACAACGGCCCCGGCTGCTTCTCTCTCTAGATAGTTGCCCCATGTCCTTCCCTCCAGCAGCCGATGGGCAGTGACCGGCTGACACAGGGATACCAGAAGGCCAGCCCCTCTGCCTCGGTCTGGGGCTGACGCTGGGGTGCGATTCGCCCCCCGGAGCCCCTCTGTGCAACCAGGCTGAGGCTAGTCTCTGACTGAAACCTCACCCTTCTTAACACTTCCCTCCTGTCCTGTTCTGTTTCCTTCCCTCCCCTTTCTCCCGAGAGCTCTCCCTCAATAAACCACTTGCACAGAAGCCCCACCTCCAGGAAACCCAAGACTGTTGTACGGGGGTCACACGCTAGCGACGCTTCTGCACAGGCTGCTTCACCTGTCCACGCTTTGCCTGTCTAGCTACAAAATGAGCTATTTACTCACACCCACACTTACCTTGTAGGGTTCTGGGGAGGAGTAAATGAGAAAAGACATGGAAAATTTCTAGTAATACACCCTCTGCGAACTACTTGGTCCTCTTCTCTGCCCCTGAGGGAAGTGTCTGGCCATGCACAAGGGTGCGCCTCTGGGAAGGAGCAGTCAAAGTCTGGAGAGTCATGACTAACAGGGAGAGACAGGTTACATCCAAGGACTGATTTTCCAGCTCTTACCTATGGGGACCGAGGAGATCTGGGAATAAAGATCCAGCATCCGGTTGCCATCCACATCTACCAGGTAATTGCCTCGGCTCTCCTCGTAATTGCAGAAAAAGTGCACGGCCTCTGCATTCTTGGGGGGAGAAGAGACTGGATCAGGCTCACTGCAGCTCCCTAGAATCTCAGTCTTTCAGGATTAAGCCTGGACTGGTGAAGTAAACCATGTCCTGTCCACTTACGGACACATGGAAGGTATCTGTGGGTGCTGGCAATGCTGTAGTTTTTGCCCCGGGTGCCATTACGTGATTTGCTTTATGATAGTTTATTAGGCTATGAATTTGTATTTTGTGCATTTTTCCGTATGTTACATATATTACAACAAAAAACACTGAGACATAAATCTGGAAAAGATTATGAAAAGTGAAGATTTATAGGGTCTTAGGGCTTAAGACAACTAAAAATATATAGTAATTGTGAAAGAAATGAAAATGTTACACCAGATGATATTCAACTCTATGTACAAAAAATTAGTAGAAAATGAACAGAGGAACAAAAAAGACATGAGACAAAGAACAGAAAGTAAAATGGAAGATGTAAATACAACTGTATCGATAATAACATTAACTGTGTGTGGATTACACAATTCAATAAAAAAATCAGCAACTGTCAGACTGGATAAAAAGATTCAGCTATTTGCTGTCTACATGAGACACACTTTAGATTCAAGAATATAAATTAGGTTGAAAGCGAAACAGATGGAAAAAGATATATGATTCTCACAGTAACCATAAAAAGTTGCAATGATTTATATTAATATCAGACAAAATTGATTGTAAAGCAAAACAAAACAAAACAAAATGTTCCTAGAGGTAAAGAGAGGCATTTTATGAGGACAAAAGGGTCTGTCCACTAAGAAGACACAACAATTATAAACATATAAGCACCTGATAACAGAGCCCCAAAACACATGAAGCAAAACCTGGCAGAATTGAAGGGGAAAATAATTCTACAAGAATAGCTAGAGACTTCAGTACCTGGATTTCAATAATGGACGGAACAGCTAGGCAGAAGATTAACAAGAAAACAGACTTAAACAACGCTCTAAATCAGCAGACCTCATGAACATGCATAGAAGGGGAGATGAAGTGCATATGGGACTTTTTCCAGAATAGACCATTTATCAGCCCATAAAAAAGGCTCAGTAAATTTAAAAGAATTGAAATCACTCAAAATATGTTTTCCGACCACAACAGAATGAAATTAGAGATCAGTAACAGAAAGAAGTCTGGGAAGTTCACCGTAACGTGAAAATTACACAGTACATAAAGAAGCAACGAGTCAAAGCAGAAATCACAAGTGAAGTTAGACAACCAGGGTTAGAACAAAAGTCAGCTGCATTTTTTTTAAAAAAAAAGAGCCAGCACAGATTAAGAATTTGTGTCCTTCAGCTAAATTATAAAGAAAAGCAATGGAAGGATCACTACTTCAGTCCCACTTACCTGAATTATATTTAGCTGTTTCATTAACTCCTGCAGGCGAGAAGAGCAGAAGTATTATAGCAAAGACACACACTTGCCAAAGGAGCTTAAAATCTTCCACGTCTTCCCAAGTTTTGGGGCTTTCCCCCTTTCATGCCAATAACTTAATAGTTAATTAGTCAACAATATTATAAATATTTTTAAATAGATTAATTTAAATAGTTGGCAGGAAACAATTCTTGCCAGTTAAATCACCAATACAACAGACAGGCTGGAGATTTGGACACGTCAAAGATAACAGTAAAATAATCTAAAATACTTAACAAAAAAATTTAAGCTGAAGATATCTATCTCATGCCCAGAAAAACAGGGGTTCTCTTTTTATATAGGGGGGGAAAAAGGCTTTGATATCCCATTAGGAAAATAAAATTAACTGAAAATAGATATTTGCATATGAAAGAATGATTCAATTATAATCTGAACACTCTATTAATCACTTGTGCAATTCTACATGGAAACTGGGAAGTATAAAACAGCGGCTTAATAACAGAAATATAAAAAAAAATTCCAAGTATTTTACTATCATTAAATTAAAGTCCACCCCTCTCCGATAAAGATACTAATGAAAAAAGTCTTCTTTTCTTAGCAAAACACTGTGCAAAATAGCTACAATCACTTACATGGGTACTAAGATTTCTGGATTTATAAAATAGTTGGAATGACAAAAGAGATACCTTTTGACTGTTAAAAAAAAAGACAATGTGGATAAAATCTGCAAAGTATGCAAAGAAAAAAATAAATATGTATTAAAAAGGTTTACACTGTTATTTTTTAGATACAAACATTAGCAACAGTACTGCTCATCACAGCACAGAATCAAGGTTAACAACCAGCCTTCCAAAACGTATGCAGGTCTTGCAGGTTCTTTGAGGAGAAGCCCCAACCCCCCTCATCAGACCCACTCTGTGCCTCTTCCACCTCACATACTGGCATCTGTTCTAGGAACTCAGAGCTACCCAGTATCTCTCATATGTCACGGACTGTCACCCTGTGGGCCTCTCCCCTTGCCTGGGACAGAACGCACTCCTTCGGCCAATCCTCCTGGTGGCCCTTCAAGACCAAGCTCAGGGGGGCATTTGCTACACACGCCGTGCGCCCTATCACACTGTCGTGTTCTTTCACTGTTGGTGGATGTTCTGCCCTGACCCTTGACTCTGGATTCAGCAAATTATGTGACCTGCTTTGGCCAAGAGAATGAGGTGGACGTGACGGTGGGCCAGTGTGGAGTCTCAAGACCTAGGGCAAGCTCTCCTCTTCCATCATCACGAGAACCAGCCCAGCCCAGCTGGCTGGAGGATGAGAGACACACGAAGCAGAGTCGAGTGACCACAGTGACCCACGATAAGCCTAGCCTGGGTCAACTGGTGGCCAGTTATCTCTTAGGCACGCGGATGAGCCCAACAGAGCTGCCTACCCAACTCCCAGTTAACCCTGGATGCATGAGCAACTTGTACACTGCTGACGTTTGTGATTGTTACGCAGCAGTATTACGGCAATAGATAACTGGTACACCTCTTCTGGGCTCTCTTTTACTTCTTATGGTAGAATGGCCTGGTTTAAGGTCCTGGATCTCTAGTAGGAAACTCACTGAAAGCAGCTAAGAATACAGGGCCCTTAGCTTGGCTGCATTCTTGCCCCATGGACCCCTTCTGCTCTCTTCTGAAACACAGCACTCAAGTGTGCTCAACTCACCCGAGATCGAGGCCCTGGAACTTCCGTCTTCATCAAAGGCCCATCATAATCAAATTCAACGTCGACTTTGGCTGCAGCCTGACTGATCTGTCTGGATCCTGCAGCAAACGAAGATGATGAGAATCCCTGGGACAGCAGACATGAGCATCCCACCCCAACAACAGCCGGTGTCCCCAACAGAGGCAGTCCCAGGACCTCGGCCCCATGCCAGACAGACTGCCCCAGAACTCTGAGTCTGGCCAGACCTGGGCATCACAAGAACCCTGAAGATTTAAAGAAGTGGGAAAGCGCAGCCGGCGCCAGTGAAGCCGTAGGCAGGCAGGCTCGCTCACGTCCCGCTCGTGTGAGGATAAGCTGATGCCAGCTTCCTAGTCCTTTTGACTGAGCATCTCATTTTCAAGGATTCATCCCAAGAAAATAATGGGTGCACAAAGGTATAGGTTAAAAATATTTGTAACAGTATTGTTTCTAACAACAAAGAGGAAACAACATAAATATCTGAGAGTGGAAGGAAGCTAAATGGAATATGCTGTATTTTACCATTCCATGGACAGTGGAATATGACACGTCCATAAAAGAATTACCCAAGTTTTATAAAAATTTTATCTACACTCATATGTATATACAGACCCGAGTTTCTCAGCCTGGGGACTACAGACATCGTGGGCTGGATCACTCTTTGCTGCGGAAGGCTGTCCTGGGCACTGAAGGATGTTTAGCTGTTTCCCTGGCCTCACCCACTTAGGTACCAGTAGCACCTCCCCCAGGAGTTGCGCTGCTAGTTGTGACAATCAGAAATCACCCAGGAGAGAATAATCAAATGTCTAAAACAGTCCCCAGTTACAGATGGTTGTGGGTTTTTTGGTGGCTGTTGTTAACAAAAAATTGGGGGGCACAAGTCATTTGCCTGAAACTGATATCACACTTTTCGCAGAGTAAAAATCGTGTCGAGGGTTAAATAAACGAGTTCCCAGGCTAACCCCACAGGGCTTTTTCACTCAGCATGTTGCTGAAATGAAGGGTAGTTTCCACCCCACATCTCGTTGATCCCTGAGCAAAGACCGCTGTGCCGAATCCAAGGCATGTTTGTAATGACTTACCGTCAGTAACTGCTAAGAATCCCTTCAACGGCCCTGCTCACCTTTTATCTTCCTGGCACATATTTGGTGGTTGTGAAATGTGAGCTCCTCTTAACATGTGTTGCCATACTTCATATAAATCATATTTGTGATCCTATTTCACCTTTACACAAACTTCGAGGGGTAGTTGTTCATGTTTGCATGACACAGGAGAGGAAACTAAAACTCAGAGAGGCGAAGAAACATGCTAGGAGCTCTGCCACCCTTTCTTTCTCTCTGTCTCTCTCACTCACTCACACACACACACAACTTGCCGAACTATACAAAGCCATGATATTCTAAGACATATTTAAATTCATTCTTAACTTTTCACAATTGCTTTATCAAAGAAGATTCCTGAATTAATTATGTAATAAAGTATAGCCCTTTGAACATAAAATCCAGTTAAAATCCAACACTACCCTTATTTTGAAGCATGGAGATACCAGCTTTTATTTTCTTCTGTTTGATCTTACAATGAAAATGCAATTTCTAAAGAGTTTATTCCATTAGCCGAGAGTTAAAGGTCATGGAACATACTGATAATTTTTTTTTTAAACACTAAACTTTATCTCTTTCTTAGCCAGAACTCAGGGTCCACTGATGCTAACTAGACCTGGATTCAACAGGGATGTATATTTGGATAAAAATAATTCTTAACCAGTTCTAGTCCTGCTTTCTTTCCATCAAAAGGGGAAAGAGAAAACTCTGAAATTAATAAGCTGTCCTCTAAGGAGGACACACAAGTCCCCCCCCCCCCCGCCCCTGAAGATGTCTTGACATCGCAGTGCAGCAGTTAGGCTTCTTGGGAACTGGGAAGCGGGAACACCAGGGATGGAGACAGCCAGCGGTGGGGCTGGTAGCTGAAAGGTTCCCGAGGGAGATGACGGGGGGCGTGTGGGGTCACGTGGAACTGCAGTTACGAGGACGCCAAGACTGGGTAAACGGGACTGGGAGGTGGGGTAGGGGAGCGCTGGGAGAGGCGGCGGGGAGAGGGTGAGACTCTGTCCACTAGGAGCAGGGATGGATGGAACACGAGACGCAGATGCCAAGCCCAAGTGTGAGGCAGATGCATCTGTGCCAAGAGTTACACTGGTTCCTACCATGTGCCAAGTTTTTGTGGATGTGGATGAAAGAGGGCCAAAACTGCTAGGCAGAAAGTCTGAAAATCAGAGTCTGGTGAGTTTTTTGGCAACTGTGCTATCCGAAAAAGGAAACTGGAGAAGCTAATGCACATTCAGTCCCTCCTGCCCTGTGCTAGGCAGGCCTTACACAGGCAAACTATCACCTATTATTTTAATTAATCCACAACCTTCTTGTGAGATGACGATGTCCCAATTTTACAGATAAGGATAAGAGAGGTTAAGCAACTTTTCCAAGGTCACACAGCTAGTGAGTTGCAAAGCTAGAATTTGAATCCAGAATATTGCTTTTCCTACTCTATTGCAATTTTAGCTTTTTGTAGAGGAAAATAACCAAATACCAATACAACACATTTTCTCTTAATGATGATATATGATTCCATAAACCACAAGAAGAAAGGAACAAGATCTGAATGGTCAAGAAGCCTCTTCTGGGATCCCTCCTTTCAAGTTGCAGGAGCAGAAATCCATTTATTGAGCACTTACGGTGAACATACTGGGTATTATTCTGAGCAATTTATATGGACTACCTCATGTAATCGTCACAACCCCCTTAGGAGGTAAATGCTATTATTATTTCCATGTTAAAGAAGACACTAAAGTTCAGAAAGGTCAATTAATTTGCACAAAGTCACACAGCTCGTAAGTGGCTAAGCTGAAAATTTGTCCTCCAGACTTCTCCTTTCCTAGACAATGTGAATGTAACTGATGCTACCTTCCATCGCTCTTAGTGTGAGTCTTTGAAACGAAACATTTGCAGCAAAACGACTCACTTCCCCCAGAGGCAAATCACTATCAAAAGCACAAGGAAGAAAAAAAAAGTTTGAATTAATATTGAATGATTCGGCATTTTCATTCATGAATAAAACAGCACACCCAGAAGGCAGGGATGTGCCTTGACACACGGTAAATCCAGCCCAGCTCTCTGGCCTTGACAAAGATGCTCAGTGGCTGTGCCAATCCAGAGAGTCAATTTTTCACTCCAAAGTGTAAAAGGAGCCATCCAATGTTTTTAACGTCCTCTTGATCTTATAGTGAGAATAATAAATGAATGTCATTTTCCCAAACAGCTAGGGTTCTGCATGTGAGCCTGGCCAAAGTCAAGGTTAAGTTCAACTCGAGCTGTCTGCCCTGCTTTTGTTTAAAACCAAACAAAACACTTTATCCTTACCTCAAGTGTCTTTGATAAAATGCTCCCACTTATTCTTTGATAAAATGCTCATTGAGAAAAATATCAATAAGCAATAATGAAAAACCAAATATGTCTAATTTCACCACCCAGAGAGAACAATCCTGCTGTCTGGTCTCCTGGTCTCTGTCCCCTACTTGCTGATATAAGATTATAAGCATCTGAACACAGTGGATGTGCTAGCTGGCTGTGGCACCCATTGGGCACCCTCTTCTCCCCCTTTTCTCCAAGAAAGCAGCTGCCATGTGGTGAGCTGCTCCATGGAGACCCGCCTGGCACTGAATCCAGCTACGGCCACATGAGTGAGCTTGGCAGTGGATCCCTGGCTCCCCAGGTGAGACCACAGCCCGGGCTACAAGCTCAACTGCGCCCTCCCGAGAAACCTGGAGCCAGAGGATCCAGCCGAGCCACCCTGGGCTCCTAGTCCACAAAAACTGTGACGCGATAAACATGCATTATTGTAACCTGAGGAGTATAAGGCAATAGAAAATTAATACAGTGGTTATGGGTGTGGGTCCTGGGACAGCCTGGCTCTGTCACGTGCAGGCTCTGAGACTCTGGGGAAGTTACATAACCTCTCTGAGTCCCAGTTTCCTCTGTCTTATGAAGTTGTGCTGAGGACTTAATGGGTTAAAACTAAGCTATCGTTTTAAAGCCATTCTCCTGTCGCTGCTTGTCCATCAGCATGTCTGAGAGCTCACACATTCAAGTATCACTGCCAACACCGTGGTTTAGTATTAAAAGAAGATCTCTCTCTCTCTCTCTCTGTCCCACTAGGTATGGCAAATTGACAGGCCGAAAGACTAAAAAAATCTCACTGTGTTATTCCCTAAATCTGCTGTAAGTGTGCCAAAAAAGATTCAACTCTGGCCAAGAAAATGTAGAGCTCAGGAACTCTGGTTTAACCATTCCTGGGTTTTTGCACTGAGCCTTCGTGTCCATGCTTGCAAAATGGGAGGGAGGACACGCCCCACGTATCGTAAATACAAAGAGCTTTCACATGAACCACTTCTTTTGAAACCAGAGACTCGTGAAGCAGGGAGGATATGAGCATTGTCCCCACTTTCTTGACGAGGAAACTGAGGCTTGAAGAAGCTCTAGCCAATTGTTTAGGCTCACTTGGCTATCATGTGGTGATTGAAGCCAGTAGCCCCATCTTATGAGCCTTAATCCACTTCTTTTTCCTTATTGTCTCCTTGGAAAGGCTGAGATGTCCTGGAGAATGGCCTTTGAAGGCAGAGCCACATATGTCACCTGGCTGAGCCCCCCGGGGGCTATGCTCAGGACCCAGTAGGTGCTCAACAGCGTTAGTTACCGATGATGACTCTTCCATGCCAGGGACTCTCCCTCCTACTCGGCACACAGCAGACCTGCATCATTTGGGTGTATTTTCCCCATAATTATGGATAAGCATTAATACGCTTCTCTTCTAGTTCCATAAAACCAAACCAAACCTGAAAACCTCCTGGCAACTAATAACTCCTCAACGTCAAGAAAAACAAGGGAAGACTGAGAAACTGTCCCAGACAGATCAGAGGCGACAACTCAGTGCAGCCTGGATCGGAACCTGGACTGGATCCTGGGGCAGAAAGACGCACTGAGGGAAAAGCTGGTGAAAAGCACATAGGAAGTCTGGAGTTTGGTTCAGAGGAATGGGCCAAGGTCAGTTCCTCACTGTGACAGATGCATCCCGGGGATGTCAGATGCTAACACTGGGGACCAGAGGGCAAGCAGCATAGGGGGTCTCTTTGTACTAACTTTACAATCTCTCTATACAACAGAAATCTTTCCGAAAAAAACCCCTGTATTTAAAAAGAAAAATTGCTGGCAGAGGAGAGAAGATGCTTGCTTTTTACCCCACCCAGGACAGAAACACCGGCAACGTTCAACATGCCAAGGCCACGGCCAACAATCTGTCTTCAGAAGGCAGGCAGCACCGACAACAAGGAGACACTGTGATGACAAGCACGGGGCTCAGGGAACTGAGGACAGCCTGGAGGCACAGGTGTCCAAAGGAGGCTACCGACGGCCTTGTTCTCCCAGAGCTGCGCGGAGGCACAGGGAGGAGAGATGCTAACGCAGTATTTGGAGCTGGACTGACTTGCATTCAAGGTGCTGTGTGACTTTGCTTCTTGGAGCCTCAGTTTTCTCACCTGTAAAATGGGATTCCCTTGTGCCTTCTTCATGGGACTATAAGGAGGGTGGTCTCATGAGATCATGGGAGCAAGGTATTCACCTGGTTAAGGTGCCTGAACTCAGTGAGGCAGAGAGACATGGAGGCATCTGAGAGAGACTGCGGTGGCAGGATGAGCCAGTGCTGCTGGCCAGGTGGGTGTTGGCTGAGTGGCAGTGAGGGAGATGGCAGTGCGGAGTGGCACATTCCTGGGATGGGGCCTCCTGTCCAGTGCCCTTGAAGCTTTTAGGTGAATTACAAGGACTTTGGTAGTTTTCTTGTTTCTTGGCAGCAAACCCAGCTATGCGTTTCCCCCAGTAGCCCCCACAGGGACAACCTGGGCCCCGCTGGCTGCTGGGGCCACCACCTCCATGCACACAGAGCAGCTCCAGTACAGGTCAGCTCCCAGCCCACTGCAGAGCTGTCCACCCAGGGACAGGAGCACATGGTGGAGATGGGAGGAGTGGTGATGGGGACAGTTTTAGGGGGGTGGGTGGGACAGCCCCAGAAGCACCAGCTGGCTGGTCCCTTTATCCCCAAGGACTCTTCCAGACTCCAAATCACTAGTCTGGACTGTGGCTTCCATTAGGATCAGTTCTTGTCAACCCTCCCAGGGCTTACCGGGCACAAGCAGGTGGTAGCTGTGTTGGAATCTGCAGGCCAGCGGCCGGGTGAGCAGCATGGAGGCCATGATGCCCTCCGTCGGGAACAGAGACCCCCTTCACGCACTCCTGCCCTGAGGGAAACCAGAAAGGCAGAGTTAGGCCAAGAAAGATCACTCCCTTGCTGGCCAGGTAGCCCACGGCCCACCATTTCCCCACAAAGTGGAGAAGGTTCTTCTCATAGCAAATTCTTTGCCTGCATACAGAATAAACACTTTAAATCAAAACCTGTTCACATGTGTTTTCATTTGCCCTTGAGGCCAGGTAAGATTATGATGCCCATTTTCTAGACAGAAAAACAGAGAGGGGACAGAGTTGGCTTGCGATCCCTCTGTAGGCAAGTTAATAAGGTCAGTGTGTCGTCCACCTGGGATAAGCAAAGCAAGCTCACGCTCTGCCCGATGGAAGGACTCAGATGCAGCGAACTTCAGAGCAGACGTCACGGTGACCACCTGATGCGGGAAGCCAGCTGCTCCCTCTGCCCTGTTCCCACACAGAACGTTGGCGGCTGGGCTGTCTGGGAACCCCGAGGGCCCATCCTGGGGGTGGGTTTCTCCAGATGACCAGCCACGCCAAGTTTGCTCTTGACTGAGTGGGTTCCTGGGAGGTAAGATTTTCAGTTTTGAAACTAGAACGGGCCCAGCAAACGGACTAGTTGCCTGAAACAGCCCCAGGGAGTCAGGGTTCTCAGCTCCCACTTTACAGGTGTGTGGGTTGATCCTCTCCAGACTGCTCCTAAGTCCTGCTCCCAAATCCGTGGACCCTGTGTCTCTTCTGGCTTCCTGTGTGCTGCCCACTGTGCTAAGCACTTTACTATTAATATTTATTATTATTATTATCAACACCCACAACAATGCTATGTGGTCCCCTTTTTACAGATGCGAAAACTGAGGCATAGAGAGGTTAATGGTGGATCTGAAAACAGCTGTCTGACCCCGGAGTCAGCAAACATCACCATCTGTCATTCTCAGAAGCTTCCCCCTCCACTTACAGGGGTGCAGACCTGGCAGCCATGTCTGTTGTATGTGACCCAGCCCCACGGCCACGGTTCAGAGCCAGAGCCCTGGGAGCTGTGGGGCCAGCCACCCTCTCCCTTGTAAAAGGGGTAGCCTATGCACTAGACAGAAGCAGCCACAGGAGAGAGAGAGTGGGTCCTGGATGTGGGGGACCCCCTGCTCCTTCCCGAGCCTTCAGGTCAGCTGGGTCACGAGTGCAGCACTCACTGTTGAGCCTGCTGGGTGGGGGGGACCTGAGTCTACCTGACCCTGGGGGAGAGCAGGCGGGGGACAGGGAGAGCCAGGAGTGTTAGGCTCACAGATGGCCCTCCACGTGGAAGGAAATGTCAGTAGCAAGGGAAGAACGTTCCCATTCTAATAGTGCCCAGAAAGCACCCCCACACCCGGCCCCACTTTTTTTGGCTTGCTTGCATTACTTTGAGTGGATTTCTGTTGCTTGCAAACGGAATCCTGGCTAGCAGCATGGTTAGAACATCAGCGCCCCAAATCCTGTGAGTGCGCTGGGAGTAACAATGCCTCTTCTGTCCAGCAGTGCGGGTGGAGCAAGACTCTGCAGCGTGGCTAAGGATAAAGACTTCTGGGCCAGCAAATCTTCTCTCCCAGTGAGGGACTGGGATTCCTCCAGGGTGGAAGTGACTGTTCTGAAGGGTACTTTATCCCCCTCAATCTGCTCAACCATCCAGTAAGTAGGGTACCTCCCCATTTCAGAGATGAGGAGACGGAAGCTTGGGGTGGGTATGGGACTGTCTGACTCCCAAATCCTTGCTTTTACTCATTTCAACATCGATTAATTCAGTGAATAACAAAACACCTAACTGTAGAAGCTAGCGGGCTTGAATACAAATGATCCAGTCTGGAGAGGAGATGTTGTTGCTTTTCACTGGAGAAAATATTACTGAGAAAAGCATGGGCTTGGAAAGTGTGACCATAAGTTAACAGGGAAACAATACTCTTCCCTTGACAACTCAATGGATTTTTTTTTCAAATCTATTCCAGAATAGCCAACTCAATGCAAGCCTGTTAATTTAGCAGAATGGTAACTAGGTTGAAAGAGCAGTTGCTGTCTCTTATTTAAAACCATTTGTCTCGAACGGGAGCACTTAAGATTCCACACAATTCAATTTCCATTAGATGTGTTTTTGAAAATGTGAGAAACTCGGAGAACTCGAATATTAACATTTGAATGCTCTGCAAAAGTGAAAGTCACACCTGCACACTTTCAATTACAAGATGTCACACTAGGAAATATATCACAGTGACATTTCAGTGGCCCGCAGTTGAAACTGACCTTATAATGAAACCTGGTCTCTATCAGACATTAATTCTTGGCACAATATATCTCCAACAATCAGAAGAGTTAATGTCATTCATTCACTTTCTCTGGCCTGCTAATTCAATCAACAAAATTAATTAGGTGCCCGTATCAGGAAAGGCACTGTATTATTTAGACACAGGAGAAAACTAAGATGGACAAAATTTTCCTCTCTATCTGAAGCTCATAATTTAGTGTCGGAGGAATGAGGGGAAAATAGAAGAATTTAATGTAGTAGCTGCTTTACCCATCATGTCAATAAATTCCTAAAATAACCTGGCAAGTTATGCTTATGAAAAATTTTCCAGTTCACTCCAACAGCTAATTCTGTATAAGACAGAATGGAATCCCGACTTTCGCTGGTGAGAACAAGGTGTCATGGGAACAGAGATTAATTCTGGGTGTTCACAGCAGGTCGGGGGCAGGTTGTGATGTCAGTGAGGTGTCACCTGGGCTGCATCTTGAAAGGCTGGGAGGTATCAGAAGCCACAGAAGAAAGGGGAGGTAAGGCCTGAGCAAATGCTGGGAGGCACGAGGGGATGCAGAACGGCCACGGATTTGGGCGTGAAGTCATGGAGTGTGGAAGGGGGGTGGGAGCAGGGCCAGCTGGAGCCGATCGCTGGATCGAGTCCTCTGGAGACCCCCCCTCAAGGAGGGAAGGTGCCAGCTGCTCTAGTCTTATCCAGAAGGGTCCAGGTCAGCCAAGTTCCCAGAGGATGGAGAGGGAATAAGTACTCAGCATGCCAATGAGATGCTGGGGTCATCGCTGAGGATGGAGTGGGGAGCTCACTGGGGTGGGCTGAGTGAAGGACACCCACAAGAGTGGGAGTTGATGGGGAGGAAGAAGCCAGGGACCAGCTCCTAAACCCTCAGCCTTAGAGCTGGTGTACAATTTAAGAATTATGGACTCCTCAAAAAAGGTAAACACAGAATTACAATACGGCCCAGCAATTCCACTCCTCAGTATACACCCAAAAGAACTGAAAATAGGAACTCCAACAAATCTGTGAACACGTGTGTTCACAGCAGCTCTATTCACAACCACCAAAAGGTGGAAACAACCCAAATGTCCATCAGGGGATGAGCAGATGGACACGATGTGCTCTGTCTGTACCACAGAGTATTATCCCACCATAGAAAGTAATGAAGCACTGACACCTGCTACAATGTGGATGAACCACAAAAACGTTACGCTCAATGCAAGAATCCAGACATGAAAGCTCACATATTGTAATATTCCATTTATACGTGCAACTTCAGGAATACGTACATTCAAAGAGGCAGAAAGCAGATCTGTGCCCAAATTGCTGTGGGCTTGGAAGAGAGGATGGGGAGTGACTGCTTAATGGGTACCGGGTTTCCATTTGGGGTGATGAAAAAGTTTTGGAACTAGATAGTGATCATGGTTGCACAACATTGTGAATGTATTAAAAGGCACTAAACTGTTCACTTCAAATGGTTAATAGTTAATTTTGTTACATGAGTTTGACCTCCATCAAAAAAAATTTTTAAAATAAAGAGAATTGTCGAGTGATCCCTCCTCTTTTACAAATGGGAGAGAGAGGACCGGAAAACGGGATAGAGAGGAATGACACACTCTGATCGCAGAGACCTGCTCTTGAATTCCTGCCACTACAGGCTCTGTGATCCCAAGGTGCCATTTGACCTGTCTGCTTCGTTCTTTCACTTAGCAGATGTCACTGTGCCGCAGGTGCTGTGTGTAGGTGCTCTGATGAAATGTCGAACAAGATCCAGATTAAAAAGAGCTGTGATAGATTAGTGATGTCTGTCACATGCTCCCTAATAGACAGTACAGATATGTGTGCTGTGCATGAGGTTGGCACCCAACTTGAGCTTCAGACTATAAATCTTCAGCCCAAACCATCACTCTCTCTCATTTAACAGAGAAAAACCTATGAAAATGCCCTGAGCCCCAGTTTCCTTATTTGTGGAATGGGAAGAGTGATGCCTCTCTCCCTGGTTTGTCCTGGGAATTGGAGAGGATGGATGTAAACTGCCTGGCCAATCACAGGCTCTCGCTGATGATGCAGTCATCGATTCTAGAGCTCTGTGGTCTGAGGTCCCTGGAGGTTTCGGGGGTCACTGAGGAAAGCGGCCAACAGACAGGCAGACCCTCCCTGCGGACTCGCTCTGGGGCCCCTCAGAGACAGGCTGACCACGAGGAAGGCTCCTTCTCCCTGGCAGAGGTGCTGAAGTCCTCAGGGGCTTCTGGGCTTTCTCTCTGGCTCCCCTTCTGTTTTCTAATTGGTCTCCAAACTTTTCAAGGATAATTCACCTCACATCACCCTCCTGCCTAAAACCCTCTGATCACACTTAGAAAAATGCAAACTCCCGAGAGAGTGAGGACCGAGTTTTTCCTGTTCACCAGGTACCCAGCACTTACACAGCTCTTGGCTCAACACGTCTGAGCTGTGAATGGGAAGCAGCCACACGCACCTTTTAAGGCAGATCTGAGGACACGTACTTAAAATCAGTCAGCAGGTCTGAAATGGCACGTTAAAACAACTTAACAGTAATACTCCTCTCCCCCCAAGTCTGCAGTCACCGCGTCACTGACTGTCCACTGCAGCCCTCGTTTGACGCAGGAACCAAAGACACACGCATCCTCTCCTGGCCTCAGGTTTCTCACATATAAAATGCGGGTGTGGGAGGGTGTCGTTTCTAAGGTCCTGTCTGACCCTGAGAAGCGTCCAGTGAGCAGTTTACTGAGAATTCCTTGCAGCAC